AATTCAAAAATTTGAAAGAATGGTAGGCCAGTAATGTTTTTTTAATAAATAATTTAATTTTATACAGATTATCGTTAAAGGATTATATTTAATCATTATTGTTATATGTGTCATACGTACATACATACATACTAGATTGGGTTTCATTTTATCACCAAAAATAGGTTATTGCATCACTTAACAAATGCATGTCACAAATTAATGAAGAAACCTGGATGGCATCTCCTAATAATACAAACATTGCAGAATTTGCTCATGCATTAAGTAATCGACGTGGAAAAAATTTAAAGTTGATGTCAGCTATTTTACAGTAAATTTGATTTTTTTTTTTTTTTATTGAATTCACTTAGTCTATAAGGTGCGCTTATAGTGCTTTTAACTTAAAATTTTAAACCATTATCAAATATATATTAATTATAATCGATTATATATATTAATACTATTTTTTAATTTATTTTTAGAGTGCGCAAATTGGATAAAGAAAAATTCATTACAATTAATACTCATCAACAATATAAGATATCTAACCATAGATGAGATAAAGGCCTGATTAGTCGTAATGTTTTATCAAATAAATGTAGAGGTACATAATAATTTATTTATACATCGATATATTTATTTAAATTACAGTATATATTTATTTATATTTTTAAATTACTAGCAAAGATTCAAAAAAAACCTATTAAAAACAAACGAAGAAAGCCTGCAAAAACTAAACAAAAGTCTGAAAAAAAACCTGAAGTAATCACTGTTGATTCAGAAGATTTAAATGAAAGCAATTTTAAAGAAATTTCAGAAGCTAATAAACTTAAATATCAAGAGCAACATTTAGCACTAAAAAAACATGAGTTGGATTTAAGAGAACATAAAGCAAAGATTCATTTAATTGAATTAGCAAACCTTGAAAAAGAACAAAAATTGAAATCTACAAATTAAATGCCTAAGGGCATTCATCAAAAAAAAAAAATTAAATACAACATTCTATGCTACCAATTCACCTCAAAATATTCTAAATAAGCTAATCAGAATATTAGATTTTAGTTGTTCAAAAAACTATTTACTATTCTCAAATAAAAATCAAATGCAATTGTATATAAAAAAAACTGTTACTTTGTAATGTTAAATATACACATAAACCCATAAAAATCTTGGTATTTGTAAAGAAATATGTACAATCCCATTAAAAACTTGATTTTGTAAATAGTGTATACGTTTCCATAAAAATCTTGATTTTTGGTGAAACACTTGAAATACTAAATTTTATCATAACGATAATAAATAACTTTAGAATTTTCATGAGGTCACAAATTATTTACAACTATACTATTGTACATATATAATATATATGATGAGTATAGTATGCTATATAGTTTTATGTACTCAAATGCGATTTTAGCATTATACTCCACTACTTTACTAAACCATACTTTACTCCTATTCATAATACCGCTTCTAAACCACTCTAGGGCTTCATACCTCAAAGAAAAACTAAACAATTACAATGTCTTTAGTGTAGAACAATTCTTAAATACAACTAGTACTGAACTTCTAGAGTGAAATAATTTTCATCACAATATTAAGAAGATACCCAGAGGCCGATGCCCATGTTGGTTCCATATAGTTTAGGATCTAATAACAAGCTTTACAAATCTTTCATCAGCAGCTTTACAGCTAAATCCTTATACTCTAATTAATTGGACCCACAACAAAAAGGGCTGGATGATTATAAACAAACTAGTTATTGGAAGAATATACAACTTATTGAACAAAATGTTTAAAACTCGACATTATATTTTACAACTAGATAATACAATAATTGCTTGCCAGAGCTGTAGTCTTAAAAACTATCACTACCATGATAAATACTGTTACTTCAATGCAACAAAGCTTTTCTACAACCTACAAGTAGATTGTAGAAAAGAATCCACATCGATTTAAACGACTTCAAAAAAGCATTAGTTTTTAATTCCGTCCATATATCTTTACTGAGTAATATAAGAACACTTTCAACTCTGGCTAGACCTCTCTGCACTTTTACAAATCCTCCTATCGTGCTCTGGGACATACTTACAAAAACTAATTTTAAGGCAAAAACCTTAACGCTTACTATAATAAGTACCTGCCAGATGATAGAAAACAATCAGCATATTGTAGCAAAATACCATCTTCAATACAGTCATGCTCTATTTAGCTATTATACCAACTTGTGGCCCTAATATACATATACACTACTTACTTTGTTGAATTTTGTGCTTACAACTACAAATCCAAGAACCTCTATTAAGGTCATTACAAACAACCTCTCTTTTGCCAACTTGATCAATCTTATACACTCAGTCTTGCTACACAACTACCCTATATTAGATAAGCAACAACACACTTATTTGCTTATGATACTAAAAACCTTAATCTACGACTGGGAAATTACAGTTTCATTTGATAAAGATACTAAAATTCAAGAGATCATAGATACGATCTTCTCCCTAAACTCTGCACCATAACAGTTCCTATACAACCGTTTCACTCCAAGGCTTCTTAACAACCTCTATACCTATCTGCTAAAAGACACACTAAAACAAGTACACCAAATTAATAACCAACTCATATGGTTTAATTAACAAAAAATTAAGAACTGGCATGAATCACAAGAAAACATTAACTGGATATAAACACTACAGTATATCATCTATGGTGAAAGACCACTAGCCCTAAATACTGACCCATCTTTCTCAGCAATAAAAAACTTCAAGATCAAATTACTCTCAGAAGAACTACCTATCCACCTCCTGCTCCATTAGAGAAATGCCACAAAGTATCCTGATTACTGCTGTCCAAGATATTTCAATAGTGTTGAAGATATTGCGCATTTTCTAACTTGCATTCGGAACCACCTACACCTTTCGACTTTAATCACACAAGTGGTACAAGAAACCTCACGAAAAATAGAGATATCACATTTTGACTTGAACACCTTTATTTAGGCCTTTACTAATCTCTACATCAACAAAAATATGCCTATTAAATTAATCACTGAAGAAACCTTAGCTCTTTTTAAAAAAAACAAAGATAAACACAAATATGCACACCTTGTTACCATAATATTGTCACTGCAATATATAAAAAGTTATGGCTCAAATCCAAAGCAATGCAACACAGTTTTACTATCCCACTACTTCCACCACTACAACCTCTGTTAATAAACCAAACTGAACCACTTACACCTACACTTTTACACAAAAAGATTCAAAAATATATAACTTATGGACAGTCTTTTCTTAGCTTCCTTATTAAAGACTAGAGGTCTAATGACCATTTTAGCAAAGAATGGGTCAAGAGTAAAGTAGCTCTTACCCTTATCTCTCATAGTGTAGTTTTCTTTTTCATGTATATCATATATGTATATTTAAACTATTAAATAAAGGAGATAGAGGATAGATCTCTCTTTTTTTAAAAAAAAAAATATATATATATATATATTTCTTAAAAAAATTTTTTTTAAAAACTTTAAAGAATTATAACAAATATTTATATATATTTATAATATACTAAAATGATTTTAAATTTTTTTTTTACTTTGGCTGTCTTGCTAGTGATCCTTTATTAAGATTATTACATTACAAATATGATACAATGTTGAGCTTAATATTTAGGCCTAATATCTTGCAGTTACTTCAAGAGCACTTACAAGCGACCAGCCACATCAGGCCGAACTTCTATTAAAGGACCTCGATAATGCAGATTAATAACCTAAGCCAAATAATCTAAGCCAACTCCTAGGAGCAATGTCAGACCACCACCCTACAATAGGATATCGCCAATTTGATGACATCTTCTCGTAGGAGAGTGAAAAAACAAAAAATCTACTAATACTAATACTAATTCTAAAAAGATAAGAAAAAAAATAAAGGTGAAGTAAAAAGTAAAAAAAAAAAAGAAATTTGACAGTCACAATTATTAGCCTGTATCAGGCCTTAAAAAATTATATATTACTAAATAGAGACGCTCTATAATATTCTCTATCCTAATAAACTATGCTTAAGGAATAAAAAAATTAAAAAAGTTGGCTAAAACTAGACATCATAGTCAACCTAGATAGAGTTAGCCTGAAATTCGAACCAGTAGTTTCAAAGTATTGTTCAATAATTTTTTTGATTCGAGACACATAACCTATTTGTGTTATTATATGATTTGTACGTTGGTTATTCCAGACATCCACCCATTATTCTGTTTTGATAATTCCATTTACAGATTTATGTAAACAGGTAAACAATACTGACTGTTTTAAAAAATTACGTGTCAATCTTTAGAAAAGGGTAAGCTGAAATGCCCACTTTTTAACAAAATTTCCTTGAAAAAAAAGTAGAGAGTCAATGAAGCTTTTCTGTAATTGTTCTTTGTAAGTTTTATAGTTGTATAGTAATATAAAGCTTGTAATACTTCTAGTGTTGCCCTAGGTGTTCTGTGATTTCAAAATATCTTTCTGGTTTGAATGCCGAATAAAGTAAAGGAGTCCACCAACAAGAAGCTTAACCTCTACCAAAACCAGCCCAAAGTAGACTGCACCTCAGTTTTATACTCTTAGTACTTCATCGACAACAGACCTACTTCTATAGGACCAAGTTTATTATTTACTTTACTATCTTCTATAATGCTAACTATAGTTCGGTTTCTTAATTTTTGTTGACCAGATGATTGTTGGAAAGAGTTAATGCTAAACTGATTTTAATGAGTTTACTATTAATAATAATATTCTCTAAAACTTTTATTAAAAGTCTAAACAAAGTTATTATAATAAAAAAAATTAGTTTTGATTGATAGTTTTTTATTATTATATTATTTGCGATTCTATTAGCCAATTCTAAATATGAAGGTCATGTAACTTTTTGAAATCATTAAATCTTCTCTAATTGATCTTCATAGTAGTTTATAATATGATACAAACAAGGTTATTTCTATTAGCTAGTTATTAGTCAGCTATTAGCCAACTATTAGCTAGCTAGCTAATAATTTAATTAGCTGTTATGTAGTTTAGAATACTAGTTATATAACAAGTTATTTTTTTATTAGCTAGCTATTAGCTGATATTTTAATTAGCTAGCTTAGCCAACTAATCCAAATTATATAACTTAAAATATTATTATAGACTATAATACTTTGTATAACTACCAATTTGTAGATTTTTATATTTACATCTTTAATTTTAAATATCTTGAGATTTACAAGATTAATTTTGATAATTTAACTATTATTAGAACTAGAAAAATCTCTTCTACAACTTTACTTAAAAGTCTATGAGAAATTTATTTATTAATTTTTTTTTTAAATTTTAAAAAATTAAATTTATTATATTAGATTATATTGTTATATTAGTAGATTTTATTAGCATATTTTAGAAGATTTTATTAATATATTTTATTAGTATAATTTATATTTATTATATATTTATTTTTAGCTTTAATTTAATAGTAAAATTTTTGACAAATAGTATTAATTTTAGTATAATATTAGGTATGTTAACTAGTATGTTAACTGATATATTAACAGATATATTAATAGGTATGTTAACTGATACATTAACTGATACGTTAACAAGTATATTAACAGATACATTAACTAATATATTAACTGGGTTGTTAAACGAGTTGTTAACTTAACTGAATTGTTAAAAGTAGAGTTTTTCAAAGTCAAATCAAATCGAATTGAATATTAATCGAATCGAATAAATCCTTAATTTGAATTTGATTTGATCGAATCAAATTAAATCAAATCAAATAATATTCGAATATTATTAAAAATTTTGAAAATTTCATCACTTTTCAAAAATTACAATTTATGCAAAATTTTATTAAGCTAATTGATTTTGTATATCAAGCAAAAAATGTTCTTCTAATCAAAATACCCCTAGTCAGTTAGAATGAAAATAAAATTTTGCATAA